GTCATTTTTTAAATATTAGTTATAGTTTTCAATACTTGTTCATTCATTGAAAGTGGCCTAGTGTGAACAAAATGGCTACCCAAATGTTAGCCAGATTTGCAGGTGTTCTGATCACAAGCATGGATAGGCTCAGCATTCCCTCATATATTGTAGAAATATATGTACTAGTTATACATGAAACTTTGGTGATATCTACACCAGCTGATCAAATTGCTGGGAATGTTGAAACCAATACACTTCTGTCCTTTGGAAAGGGGGCAGTTAGACATAATGTCAACATTGCCAAGTCATTTTCACGATCGGTAAGGCCAAACTTTCTGTGTAAGTAGGGTCCTTTGAGTTGTAACGAAGTTCTAACAAATGCAGCTACGTATCTAAAAAAAGTACTTGTTTAAGTCTCATTTTAACGCATCCAAATTGAATGTGTGGTATTAGAAGGTGATCTGTAGATAAAATAGGCTGAAGAAAGACAATCGGAACTTTACCAAGTGCATATACCATTAAAATAAACAACAATATAGTCCGTGTCCATACGCACTTTCCTTCTTATTGTCCACGGCCGTCCGGACGCACAGTCCCCCGAGTTCTGGAGCACGTAATTTCCGCCGCCCTCCCCGGGCGCCATATTGGTACAACAAGCCTTATCTATCCCACAATTCGTAGTTTCCATACCCTTCCTGTTTCATTCTATGGAGTATCCGAATTTGTTTTCTAACACATCCTTGGACCTACTCCACAGCAGAAGAGAATTGTGGATAATCTGGAAATTTCTGGAATATCCGAATTTGTTTTCTTATACTCCACAGCAGAAGCGATTTGTGGGTAATCTAGGGATTTCTGGAATACTGTACAGTATCCAAATTTGTTTTCTTACACATCGGTGGGCCCACTTCACAGCAGAAGCGAATTGTGGGTAATCTGGGGATATCTTGAATATCCGAATTTGTATTTTTTACGAATCCGCAGATGTGAAAATAACGGTCGTCACAAGAGGGAGCTCCGGAGCACCTGGTAATAGCCACCGTAAACCTTTGCGCGTCGCATAAAAACCATGTCTGCTCCTGTAACCCTAGGACGAAGAAAGGTTTGCAAATATTTCGGCCGCTGTGAATTGTCAACCTGCTGACGTTGCTAGGAGATTGATGTGTCCCAAACCGTTCCCGTTCCGTTCTGTGCCTGAGCGGGCACAGAACGGGACACGGCCTGACTGTCTAGAACCGTGCCCGGAAGTGCTTTCAATCATAGTGATTGGCGGGATGAGATTTGCTACTTATTTTCCGCTAGTTATCACAAGGGCCGGAACACCTGAAAAGAAGGTTATCACGGCCCGGGCATGACATAAAGTGAATTACGGACGGAGTTTAACAAAGTACCTGGCATGGTTGGCACAGCCTGTTGAATGATGTCCAGTGCTCATTGTCCGCCAATATCTGCTTCGAAACGCTAAAGAGGAACTCTCGGAAAGGCACCGGTTTTGTGGCGTTGAATGTCCCTTCTTCTTTTACTTTGCTTGACTAGAATGGATAGAATACAAAGTACCTTTGCAATAGAAAATAAACTAGATAAATACATCAGAGACTCACAACTAAATTATAGACAGGGATACCATAAATGTTAACTTTCTGCAAATTCTGGTCGCTTCCGATGGAGTTACTTGTACTCCATGCAAAATTTTAGGTTGCAAATTTCTTGACAAAAATAGGAGCAGTTTAACCGTTCTCGCTGTGTTGGAAAGTACAGTAAAATCCCGCTGCAAAGCTAAAAGGTCAGTGTGATCTGAGTCGTTTAATCTATTTTTATGTACTAAAATACGCACGCACGGCTGTCGGGTTCCCATTACTAGGTGCGTTCGAAAACGCATCAGGTTACAAGAATTAATATTTGGACTAACCGTAAAATGAGAAAATAAACAAATTTGAGAAACAAAAAGTATTAAAGGCAAATTTTGTCGAAATAAAATTAAATGAACGGTCATGTTAGCTGTTTAAATTAAATCACTGATTTTCGTAAATTTAGCTCCAAAAGGTGATTATTTCCTTTTTTTCTACAGCTAGGAATAAGATCAAAATTCGTGTCTTATGATTTGTTTTTGAATTTCTGGTTTAAAATTTTTCGCATATTGGTGAAAAAAGGACATATTTTATCAAAAATTATATCAAACCAATTATTCAAAATTGAGGCAATGTTTTTTTAAATCCATAAATCTCGCTTCTCGGGTCAACAGTAACAACAATTTGGAGCCGTAAATGAGGTATGTTAGGCTCTCAATTTTTCCAATCTTGAACGGATTTTGCAGACAAGTCATGCCGCCCGAAAGTGGGTGCGTAATTTACACCGATGTAAATAACCTTTACAGTATTCAAGGTCACCAGCTTATACGACGGTAGCTTTGCAATATGTTATATGTCCACACCAAAATTTATTATGACCAAAGGGGCTAACCGTTCTATCCAACATTAAGTGAATTGGGACTGACCCAAATTTTCGACCGACTCCGTCAGCCTTGTTCAGGGAATGGACTCTTCTATTGCAGCTTCAGGGACGTGACGTCGGAAACACGTCACGTCCCCCCCCCCCGTCTCTTTGCAGTGTTGGTCGGTTCGCCACCGCCACCTTCACTTCTCTCGCCAAGAAATTCTGAGTGCAGAATTTTCAATTTGTTCAGCGAGACGGAATGTCCTGGTATGTGTATATGTTGATATAAGTCTTGATGCCAAAAAAAAAAAAAAACTTACCAAAAATTCTCCGTAGTGCTTCAGAAGTTCCCTTACTGTATACTACAGTAATACTACATGTATACACGACCCTTGTTGGGTTTTGAGGAAGCCGTCTTCTTTTTCTGGTATCAAGACTTGCTTTAGACCGACACGGAATCGAAGAAAAATCATAGTCGCTCCAAAAGACTAAACACTCCAGGAGAGTAGATGTGGAGTGGTTTACCAAGGTGTAACAAACAAGGGACATTGTAAAGAAACATACACCGGTGAAACAACGTTCGTTGACTAACTGGAGGGAACTCACGGTCGTCTGCTCAAATGCAGCCGCCAGATGATGATGAAAACACGGTTTCTGGAACACCAACGCCCAAGTTCTACCAACTCAGAAGTATCTCAACATATACACATAGAACCGGGGGTGTCTCAGGTACGTATCTGACACGCACGACCCTTTGCTGTAATCACGTGTTTCCGACGTCACGTCCCTGAAGCTGCAGTAGAAGAGTCCATTCCCTGAACAAGGCTGACGGGGTCGGTTGGAAAATTGGGTCAGTCCCAATTCACACGGTGGTCAAATCTGGGCTGCAAAGTTCCCACATTTCATAGAACCCGAACTGTGTTCGATCGTGTTCGATCTGGGCAATTCGAATCGAACCCGCGTTCCATTTCGGGGTCACCTGCGGTCATTTGCAATAAAGAGGCAAAACAAGCCCTTTTGCCTGAGTTCTTCGCAACAGATAAAAAACAACACTTTGCTATAGATACAGTTTTCTGGACAGTACATGTACGCTATAATTTTTGGTGGGTATGTAACATGTAGCGAAGTTACTGTTGTATCCTTGGGTGACCTTGAATACTGTAATACTTTTTACGCCTGTGTGAACAACACAATGCACACTTTTGGGCGAAATGACATATATACAAAACTCGTTCAAACCTGGAAACATGGAGAGTCAAACGGCTCAAAATGACCGTTACAGTTGTCCCGAAAATCGTGTTTTAGGGATTTTTGAAAAATGGCCTCAATTTTGAATTATGGGTAATTTAGTGAGAAAAAAATGCCATTTTTCACCAATATGTCAACAAAAACTAGACTTAAAATTAGAAATTAAAGAATTCCTAAAACACTATTTTTGACCTTATTCTTAGTCGTCGATCGGGGATCTTGGGTAATATACGTATCCAGGTTTGAACGATGTTTGCCTAAAACATGACATGACTTGTGCTCAGAAGCCCGAAAAAATCGTATTTCTGAGCAAAATTTAAAAACATCAGTGATTCAACATAAAAAGCTAACATTTAAAGGATGTTAAGACGATAATTTCATTTTAATTTGACGAAATTCACCACTAAATACTATTTGTTAATTTTTAAATGTTTTGCGGGTAGTCCAAAACAGGCCAAAATAGCGTCTTGTAACCCGATACCTTTTCGAACGCGCCTACAAATGGGAAAGAATGCCGTAGTGACAAACCGCCGTGTCACTTAATGTTGGATAGAACGTTTAGCCCTTTTGGTCATAATGACGTATACCAACACAGATGAACTTTGATGGTAAGGAACAAAATTTATTATAAATGCAGTTTTTTTTAGTTATTACAGGTCTATTGTAAATGACTGGAGGTAGCGCTCGTTTGAATTATCCAGATTGAGAAGATCAAACACAATTTGGGATTTAACAAATGTGGGAACTTTGCAACCCAGATTTTACCACCGTAAATGGAGTAAGAATGTATTTCAAACTGAGGAAATGCGCCATACCTTGTCTGGTTGGTTACGCTCTTCATAGTTTCTCAGGCGATGATTTAAACCCTTGACCCAGCTGAAAGCCCCAAGTGCTGGCATGTTGACAAATTTGTTAAGCCACGCAGATGCCAACCTGAGGTGACGATAGAAGCAGTTCAATTCAGAGAAGCCCTACCTAGACGGGGGGTGGGAGGTTGCCCGCGCCAACTTATAATTAGCAAAAATTAGTGAGATAAGTTAATATTTTATATTGTTGCTATTGCAATTGCTCTCTGAGAGTGATTTTTGCGATATTCTGAAATTTTAGTTTAAACAATTAACATTTCAGGCCTTAATGTTAAGTTACAAATGCTTTCTGATATCTTCTCTTTTTTAATCTAATTTTGTCAATAATAGTGCATAATTTATGCTCAATTGATGACGTCATTTGTAAAATATATAGCGTCACTGAATGCCATCCAGTAAATTTCTAGCGGCGACCGATTTATGAATAATTTATCAAGGCCCACGGACCCGGTTCTTTCACTTGTAGAGTAGCCAATTACCACTGATCTGGTGGCACAAGATGTGCGAAAACACGTACTTCACACCCATTGTTCGTCGATATAAAGCGCTTATACATTACAAAGAGAATTTTCGTAGGACTGCCATTACTTTAGTTTGCAGCTTGTGTATTGAGAACGGGTATCTTCATCATTCTGCTGGCTGTTTGTAGAGGAACGGCGCAATAAAACAGTTTTCTATACCATCAGGACTTAGCAGATAACACGCAATGAAGCCCACTTTTTACGCAGTTTGTAACAGTAAATGATTTAAGGAATTCACAGGAAGCACAATGACATATAATGTGTCGCATAAACATTATATAGCACAAAATGAAGAGTAACAAAAGTGCAGTCGTGTTTGGCAGGGTATGGCAACTTATAGTAGGCACATGTATCGGTTCAATCTTTAACGGATAAGTTGATAGCAACAAGCAAGATGCATAGGTTCCAACTACTTTTGTAGTTTTGTAGTTACATATTATAGTGCCCGCGCCAACTTTGATGTCGGATTTATTTTGTTTTATTTTCTGTCATGTTTATACAGGGTGGCCCATTAAGTGATTGCACTTGTTTTGCAAAACAAAACAAATCAGTCACATAAAAACAGTAAAATAGGGATACAATAAAAAAACTAGAGTTCCACGATCTCAAACATTCGCCAAATTATGTTAATCTTAAGACTGACAAAGTAAAGATTATTTCTCCTGGTTATTGTAAATAGGATCCCCATTTGCATGAATTATATTAGTTGATCATATTCTCCACCAAAAGACAGCCTTATCTTAACAATGAAAGTCTTTTTATCATTTCTTCATAAATTATGCAAATGAGGTCCTTATTATTTTAATGTGATGTTCACCTTCATTTAACTTTCAAATAGGCCAAGTATGAAATTCCTGGCAGTTACATGTACCAATATGGAATTTTAACACTGTCTCATTAATTATGCAAATTAAGTGTTAATTTACATAATCTGCCTGTGTTTCCCTCGTTCTCAATTACAAATGTCACAAGCTTGAATAGTCCTGTAATGTGCAGTGCAGCTGATTTATAGAATTTCCTCATCATTCAAACCTACGTCATTTCTTCCCCCGCACAAGATCTACCTACCATCCACAATTCATGACCCTAGCACGTCCAGATCACGAGATATCAAAACCGGAAGTTCAGCGGCAGCACCATAAGAAGGTGCTAGGGGGCCCAAAATCTAATCATTTCAAGGTCTCTTCAAGACCTGCTCACCTATCAAATATGAAGTTAATCTATTAAAGTCTCAATCGTGTTTACAGACAGACAGACAGACACACAGACAGACAGACACACACACACACACACACTAACGCCTCTGAAAACATAACCTTCTTGGCGAAGGTAATTATAATGGCAATAATAAATAAAGAAAACAAAGACTGGCAATGAAAACATACATTGCCATGGCGACGGTGGTTGCTGCTAGGGTTATTGTTTGCATGGCACTGCCATCATTTCATGATTTTGAGGAAGACTTGGTACTTGGACTTTGGACTTTGGTTAAGTCTAGACAGATACAGTACACCCCTCCCCTGAGTGCATAGTGAACGAGCCCCGGGGTCACAGAAAGTAGGGCCATCTGGGGCAGACAGGTCTTCAGGGTTCCAGGAATGTGGGCATAGATGTGGGTCAGAGAAATGCCTGTGGACATTCCGCATGCCTGTGGACAAAAATGCCTGTACAATTCCAAGAATTCTTATTATATCTATTTAGAAATAGTAGCAATGTCGCCTGTAGAGCAGAATTAGGTAGATTTCCTATAGATACACATATTTGTATATAGATAATGGTCCAAATGGGCACAACCTCACACTCCCTTCAAAATGGATGCTCAGAGTCCTCTTACAGCAAAGCCTTCCAACAAATACCCGTAGACGAACTTTATTGCAACCTTGTTAAAGACATACCGGTATTAGATCACAATGGATACTCCTTTTTGTGGCATTCCGAATCAACATTGTGACCCTGAACATGTTGGGGAAATGCTGAGAAGGAGACTTACAGATATACACATGTCTTCTTCAGTTTACAAGAGAGAAGTCAAACCCTTCGAATTCAGACATAGTTTTAGCCTCCGGGCATGAATTTGCAATGAACCTCACAATTGTTATAAAGGAGAGAAAGATATACAAGTACCTCTTCAAATGCAGCAGAGTTGAAGACTGTCGATGATACGTAGGGGAAAACGTTCTACACTAATTCAGAAAACTCAACAGCCTACTGCTTACTTCATGAACATCATGGGAGCCATATGAGCTAGATAATGCTGCATGGAAGTGGACAGGGATGTGAATCAGCATGTGTCTGCTCAGTTGAGAATCTGTACAATTTCCACAATGTCCCAAGGGTTTCCTGGAATTTCACTATGTAGGAATGTGGGCATAGATGTGGGTCAGAGACATGCCTGTGGACATTCCATTCCCGTACAATTCCTAGAATTCTTGCAAACTGCACACAATACTGTACCATTAGAAGAAATGTGGGAAGAATGTAAAACATCCACTTGAAAGGCATGTGGGTATGTGGGCAAGAATTTAGGACTACGTAGGAATGTGTCCATAAAAGTGTGCCATCAACATGCCTGTAGACATGCCATGCCTGTGGAAAAAAATGCCTGTGCAATTCCTAGAATTCTTGCAAACTACACACAATACTGTGCCATTAGGCTCCCCCCTGAGGCGTCGCCAAAAAACAGTAACTAACCAATAACATTAATAAATAATGATAACGTCCGAACGGCTTGCCTTAGGGCCATTATAATTGTTGACTTTTCCTAAAATATTATTGACAGAAATTTCATAGAAGTGAAATTTAATAAAACGTTTTCGTGTTGCCATGGCAACGGGTTTCTAAAAGGCATTTTTTGCCAACATCAATAGTTTTGGCTTGAAGAATGAGATTTTTAATGTTAATGTACATATGCTTTCTAAGTAAAATAACATTTTATATGATTTTATGTAATTTCTATTAATGATAATGCATAATTTATGCTTATTTGATGACGCAATTGGCCAAAATCCAAAACGGTTGACCATATCATTAGATCAGGTAAATTTCGGCGATTTTTCTTAAATTTTTATCCCTACTTCGATTTTGTTTTACATAAAAGGTTAATTTGAACATATTAAGTCTATTTTCATTGTATTTTCTTTGCATGGAATATGAAAAATGCATGAAATATGCATGCAGTGAATTTATGCATGGAGTGAAGTTACTGGTGTTGCTATAGTTGAGATACGCTTAAGCATACCTTACCCTATTTAGAAGAATAAAAGGCTTTTGAGGCCCGCGCAAACTCTAATGTCAGATAGCTCCATTACGCCATAGCCATCGAAATTGGTGACTTGTTCTAAAACATTCCTGGGAGCAACTTCATATTGATTAGACAACCTAATATTTTACGTACTACCATGGCAACAGGTTTCTGACAGAGTTTTGGTTCCTCTAAATATGAGACATACAGTTCACGAGTTCTGATCCACCCTCCCACAACCCCCCCTTAAAAACCACCCTAGATAGGTTTAAGTGGGTTTAGATATGTAATTTTATTCAAAGGGTCTACATGCTCTATCTGTATCGGTATACTCGGTATAACGGCCCTTCGTCGTAGCACACCAGCTTCGCAGGCACGCGGCGCGGAGGCAGCTAGCTATATCACACCGAACGACTTGTTACCTTTAATCTGTGCATATTTAATTGCAGGAGTGATGTTGCCCCAACTGTGCTTTGTGGCAACGAGCTTCGTTCCACAATTACTTTTCGAAAATACAAGTTTTTGAAGAACTCAATTTTGAACTCCAATATTTAAAGGTATCCTGCTTCTTGTTCTTTTCTGGGCTGGTATTACTTAGTGGTTGGTATGTCCACCAGTTTTGAGTCATTTTGTACATTATGCATAGTCTTGACTATCGCTCCGCTTCCTGTGCCGCTCTTCTCTGCTGTCGCTCCACTTCATGTGCCGCTTGTCTCTGCTGTCGCTCCGCTCCGCTTCCTGTGCCGTCTACGTTCCCTAGAACGCCGCGAACGAGTCGAGCGTGCTCTGTGCGGCCGATCTTTCTCACTGCTACTGTTACTGCCACATGACGATGTGGAGCTGGAGCGGTGGTTTCCTCCTCTCTCAGCGATCTTGCCCCGTGCACGAGACGTTGGCTCCAGTAAACCATCCAGCACTTGATCTACTTCTCTCACCAACTTCTTCGACGCCGGCAGATCCCTCACAGCATACTGCTCCGATTCTTTCTTTGATGTCGCCGGCGACTCCTGACCGCTCGTGAACGCGGACTTCAGGCGTGGAACTTCTGGTGGCTCACTGTAAGCCCTCGCGTGTCGAGCCTGATTCCCGTCCACCCGTCCCGGAGACAGGTCGGCTGTCTTGACCTGCAAAGAACGGGGCCGGGGCGTCAGGACCTCTTCTGACTCATCCGATGTGCTCTCGGACCATACCCGCCGCGCAATTTCGTCCACCTTGCTCTCCTTCCTGAGGTACCGTCTGAGTCTGACGCTCCCTCCACTCTTTCATAGTGGCATTTCCCTGGACCGCACGGGCCCGGATGTCCCTTCACAGGCAGACGACATACCGAGCACCTCCTAGATTGACGATGGCGCCGAGACTTCCTTCTCCATACCG